CAAATTTGCTAAAAATGCAAGGTTAACGCTTTACAATCTGAATTTTTTCATAAACACCTGATTTTTCTCTATTTTGCTAAAAAATGCAAGGTTAACCCCTTACAATTTGAATTTTTTTAGAAACATCTCATTTTGCCAAATTTTGCTAAAAATGCAAGGTTCACCCCTTACAATTCGAGATTTTTCATAAAAATCTGATATTGCCCATTTTTGCTAAAAATGCCAAGTAAACCCAATACAAATCTGCAATTTTCCAGAAACATCTGATTTTTCCCAATTTCGTTTAAAAAATTGCAGGGTTAACCCCTTACAACTTGAAATGTTTCATAAACATCCAACTTTGCCAAATTTAGCTAAAAAAGCAAATTTAACCCCTTAATTTGGCAAGGTTAACCCCTAACAATTTTTGATTTTTCATACAAATCTGACTTTGCCCAATTTTGCTAAAAATGCAAAGTTAACCCCTTCAAATCTGAAATTTTCCATAAACACCTGATTTGCCCTATTTTGCTAAAAAATGCAAGGTTAACCCCTGACAATTTGAAATTTTTCATAAACATTTAAATTTTTCCAATTATACTTAAAAAGCAAGGTTAACCCCTTACAATCTGAAATTTTTCATCCACATCTTATTTTGCCAAATTTCACTAAAAAAGCAAGGTTAACCCCTTACAATCTGAAATTTTCCAGAAAGATCTGATTTTGCCCAATTTCGCTAAAAATTAATATGCAAGGTTCACCCCTTACAATTTGAAATGTTTCATAAACATCTAACCCCATACAATCTGCAATTTTCCAGAAACATCTGATTTTTCCCACTTTTGCTAAAATGTAAGGCTAACTCCTTGCAAACTGCTATATCAATACATGAAGTGTCTCATTTGACTTTTTTAAAACAAATTATATTTCCACTTTTTAGGGTAAAGGAATGTTCTCTTTTTCCTTTCTCTTTTGTTGTTGCTATATTTTGCGAATTAACTCATTCGTATGGAAGATTATAGTCAATCAAAGAATATTTCACACATAGGGGCCTAAATTATATTTTTAAAATTTAATAGAGACGCAATGATCGTGCTATCATATACCATTCTATTACTATTGCGAATTACTGTATTGTTTGGAATGCTCACAATTAAAGACACGTTATTTGAAAGATGTATAAATAAAATGTATATTACAATGTACATCTTTTTTCTTTCCCAGTATAATTTATGGCGTTTCTTACGTCAATTGGCAATCGCGTCATTATTTAATGACAGTCAATTTGATCAAACGAAACTCCGTTTTGATTTTAGTCAATTATGAAATATTCATTGATTTATGACAAACACCTTTGTTTCAATATTGATAATACCCGTAGACCTGCCGAGCAGCTGTACATATCAAACTAAACCAAAGTATAAAAGATAGAGGGTAAAAAAAAATCAAAAAGTTATGTGCTAGTCAAGCTTTCAGGGATCGGTCTGAGCCATAACAATGCCCCAGCCGATCCCTTAGTTCTCTTCCGGGGTCTCGGCGTCCCCGACCAATACACACTTCCTTCCCTATCCATCCATATAACCCCGGAGGGCCAGGCACCATGTAAAAGCAAAGAGCTAAGGGAGGAACAGGGCGGCCCCTAAGCCCTGATCCTCCGAGTGGACCACATGCCCTGAACCTGTACGAAGGCGCCAACCTGGAACTCGCGGACAGTACCAGCAGCAGTGCTTACCGATTAAGCTAAGGTACTGTTGGTAGTTTACGACGGGGAATTAAATCTCTTATACTAAATGATTGAACTCATACGTTAAAAACCAAAAAGACACCAGCGGGATTCGAACCCGGGACCCCGCTAATCGTGGACGACGAATCGTAACCACTCGGCCATTTCGTTACCTTAGAATTTTCCTTAAACTGAGAAAAGTTGTCTTTATAGGTGAGCAAACGCGCCAGGAAGATTACTGGGTCCATTTGCTTTACCTTAATGGGTAAAAACAAATCGATATAATGAGCCCAGTGTGTTTGGTTTGTTAGGAAGCTGCATAACACAGCCTAATGTGCAAAACAGTCGTGTGCTAGGCGGATCATTACGCAACAATGAACACCGCAATTGTGTATTTCAAAAGGCAGACGCGTAGATTTCTACTCTTTGTATCTGGGCACATATAGATTCTCACCTCCCTCTTCAGCTATTTCGACTTTCTTAAAAAGATGGCCGTATGTGTCATACGGCCAGTATACACAATGTTTGCCGGCAGGCCGCTGATGTTTCATATCAGCAACGGTATTGTTGTTAGAAGGTTGCCCCCTCCTTCCCTCCATTTCTCTCACCTCCCCCATCTCCCCCCCCCCCTGTTTTATTCATTTTATTTTTTTGTGGACTTAATTTGACGGGAGGCACGTGCCCCCGCGGCCCACTCCTGGATCCGCGCTGATATAGCCGGTTGCAATTTGCCATTCTGCAAAACCTCCTCCCCCTCCCCCGCTATGCCACTGCTCCGAGGTGCGTAAGATTGGCCCTAGGAATATCGGTAAAAGGAAAAACAAAAATATTCAGCGAGGCAGCAATTATTTTTGAGAGATCATTTGAAATACTCCATCGTCACGCACACATTCAGTATGACATTTACGTGGTATGTAGGGCCTACCTGTTTTTTTTTTACAAAATTCTGATAATCTGTTCAGAACGAAAATTAAAGGACGTTAACATCCTGTGACAAATTAATTTGCTTGTTTGCTTTTGCCGGTCAAGTTACACAGTTTTAAAAGCTGGTTTGAAATGGCGGGCTTCACTTCTGAAACTTGCGCGCACTACCCGTATTCAGAATTAACGAATAAGGAGTGTCCCGCTTTTAATTAAAGTTGAAATTAATTAATTGATTGCTTGACATGGGCCGAAATTATTTCTGTACGTTGTCTCCTTTGAGTTCTCATAGAAATTTGTGTTTAATTCCACTTATAAACAACATTGTTATTTAGAATCATATTAAGAAAGACTTTTTTGACACGATCTGATGTTGCGCCGCTGCATTGGGGACACATTTACCAGGGGGACACTTTCACCGTTGGGCAGGGGGACATTTTTACCTGGAGGGGTACAAATTTACCTAGGTAAAAGTGTCCCCCGGACACATTTACCGGGTCACGAGCCGGTAATTGTGTCCGGGGGGACACATTTACCAGGGGGGACAGAATTACCTGTCACACCGGCATATACTATCTAATTCACACTACAGGCGTAGCACGGTCATTTGTATCGGGGGGGGGGGGGGGGTGAACATTTTTTGAAAAGGGCACTTGCACATCCGTCCTGAAATGAAGACACGTTTGTTTTCTTCGGACCTCCGTAAAATCAAATAGTGGGGGGGGGGGGGGGGGGGGGTGGGGGGGGGTGGGGGGGGGGGCTGTACCATCTGTTGATGGGGGCGCTGTAAACCGACGATTATGCACACTCACGGAATTAACGAAATTAACAAAAAAGGCACCCGAAACGGCCGATGGCACCAAAAAGGCCACCACCTACTTTTAAAAAAGGGCACTTGTCCAGAAAAAAAAGGGGCACTTGTTAAAAAAGGGGCAATCTTTGCAAAATATTGGGGAAGGTGTAAGCGCTGGTGAAAAAAAGGACATTAGAATAGAAAAGGGCAGTCTTTACAAACCACCCCCTCTCCGATACCCAAGAAAATTATACTTGTTTATCGTCCGACTGTGCACAAAATACGGACAGAGGCAGCTCGTTTAGGCTAGGGGATATCTGTAGTGTTAATAATCGTCAGATTTGAACATCGCTCCCATTGAAAGTATGGTGCGAGTTATAATATACATTACATCTTTATTCCCCCCCCCCCGTATAATACTGTATATGGCGTTTCTTAAGTCAATTGAAAATTACGCCATTAATAATGGTAGACATATTGATCGAACGAAAATTAATTTTGATTACATTCAATTATTAGATATTCATTGATTTAAGACATTGACCTTTGTTTCGTTTTTAATATTACCGTAGACCTGCCGAGCAGATGTAAATATCAAACTTAACCAAAGTTTTAAAGGGAATGTACATCGTTGGCTTTGGCTGTAATTTTCAGATTTGAGAGGTTAGTATAATAGATCAAATATTGTTACACTGACATGTTTGAAGTTTTGTTTTCAAAAATGCTGGAAAAACCAAGAAAAACAAAAATGCTCAAGTACTCTGGTTCCCTGGCTCCACTTTATTGATAGATGCCGAAAAAGTGTAAGATAAGGGAACCAGTCTAGCTGGCCTGCACCCGTTAATGAACATGTAACCAATAACAAACACAATTTGGACTGAAAAAATGGTAAATTTAGAGCAGTAGTTGAAAGGTTTTTCCAACGGTGGTACGCCGTACATTTTTCTTGAAAATGACTTCACACCAGGTGCCATAATTTTACAGGATGCTTTAGACTGTCTTTTGCATCCTAGTAACGTATTTCGTAAAAACTTGGTAGTTTTATTTTCCGATGTTTGCAAATGTTGTATTTAAAAAAAAATCAAAAAGTTATGTGCTAGCCAAACATTCAGGGATCGGTCTGAGCCATAACAATGCCCCAGCAAATCCCTTAGGACTCTTCTGGGATCTCGGCGTCCCCGACCAATACACACTTCCTTCCCTATCCATCCATATAACCCCGGAGGGCCAGGCGTCATGTAAAAGCAAAGAGCTAAGGGAGGAACAGGGCGGCACCATAAGCCCTAAGCCCACATGCCCTGAACCTGTACGAAGGCGCCAACCTGGAACTCACGGACAGTACCAGCCGTAGTGCTTACCCATTAAGCTAAGGTACAGTTGGTATTTTACGACGGGAAATAAAACCTCTTATAGTGACTGAATGCGTGCGTTGAAAAGCAAAAATACACCCACGGGATTCGAACCCGGGCTCTGCGATTCGTGAATAAGAATCACCGCTAGGCCATTCTGCTTCCTTTGAATTCTTGTTAAAAGCAATTTGTCTTAATAGGCGAAGAAACGTGGAACACTGCTGTGTGCATACACCTACCCACCCAGCCCCACCCATCCATCCTACTAAATGCAGCATAAAGACAGTTGCTAAACATCAGTGATAATGTGCGACCCCGTCACATTGTTGGTGATCTCATCAGCGTGATGAGGTGGAGTCAGCGCCACTCTCTCACTGACGTCTTCTTCCAGGGTGTTTCCGTGAATGCTTCCCGTTTCGGCTTCCTCCTCCACCCGCTGCCGGTGTCGTCGTCTGGCCGTGGTGGCCGGCTTGCTGCCGGCGATTAGAGTGCCCGGGGCGAAGAGGCGACGGTACACCGTGCTGGCAATCAGGCCGGCTAGGAGCGGGGCTATCCAGTACAGCTACCGGAGTTGAAAGAAAAATGCAACATTTCATTGGACCGTAGAGAATGGGCCAAAACTGTTCTCCTATTGATGAGCCATCTTGATTGATGTCATTATTTGTTAACTACTTATTGGGACATCTCAAAATATTGGACAAAGTTTCAGCCTCAGGTTTAAGGTTTACTTTAAGGTACGGTCACAATACATAGGAACAAACTGTTTAACGGAACTTGAAATTATAGTACGGGGAGGTCAGACAAAAAGCCGAAGCTTGTATTGGGTCAGCCCAGCAGTCTGCCAAGCCAGGAATGATACAGTCCGATCGTGTCTTCCCTTTCTGTTGGTGAAAATTGTCCAAAAGGTATTCCACGTTCTTTCCTCAATAAACTCATAATTTTTGAAGATTTCGGAAATAACGTTTCCAGAAGGTCCTCTTCAAAATGCAAAGAAGTGAATCAAACAAATCATAATCATCATAGATATGGCGAAGAACTCGTCAAAGATTATTAGCCATGTTTTATTTCTTTCAGATCGGCATCTCTCTCAAACGAAAAACACACACGAATAGATTTGGGTGTCTTTCGAAAGAAACTGTGATCGCCATGCATGCTATTAAGAAGATAACTACGCGAGATTTCATTCTGGTATCTTCCATTTTTGTCTGCATTTTGTTGTGTTTTTAAATGAATTACGATTTACGAGTAGTAAATTGTCAAAACATTGATGACCTACCCAGTGATTACTCCAGTTCCCTGCCGATAAGGCTGGGCCAAAGGACCGGGCAGGATTCATACTGGCGCCAGTGAATGGAATCTGACCAATCAAGAGAGAGCAAAGTCAACAAAATGGCGGCGAGAGAATGGAATCTGACCAATCATCATTGTGTTAAGTAAACAACGTGGGATGAACTGATACTGCCGTAGTATGGTGTTGGAAAACAAAGTTACAAACACTTGTTAAACAAAATACGGCATCTAATATTTGAAATAACGTGATTAAAAAAATGCATTGTGTAGTAGAGGAAAACATTTAGTGCAAGTGTTTTTTTAATGCAAAACGCCTAGTTGTTTAAAAAGAAAAAAAAAGATAACGAAAGTAACTTATTTAGTTAAAATAAAATGACATTCAAAAAATGTACAATTTTGTTTATGGTTTCAACTTACTGCAAATAATAAACCGAGTGCTACTGAAACACCAATGGCCAGCGCAGGCGGGATTCTGTTGTCCTTCCTCCGAGGGTCTGTCGTCGTAAACACGGTGAATACTAGCTGAAGGGAGGCAACAAGTTCTACAATAAACCCCTGGCCAGCTGAGACATTCTCCCCAAGCAGGGTACACCCCAGGGTGGTGTCATACCGTGGGTCAGTAGGTGTGGCCACTCGGAGCAAGGCCGCGCCCAGAAACCCCCCGAGACACTGCGCGACGATGTAGAGCAGCCCGCGTACCAGGCTGAGCTCTCGGTAGAACATCAGCGGTAGCGTCACGGCGGGGTTGAGGTGCGCCCCGCTCACATCTCCGAAGCAATGCACCAAGGATGCGATGACGAGACCGAAAGACAGCGAGACGTGGAGGTTGCTGGGAGCATTACCCCCCGGCCAGGCCACCGACGACCCAGCCGCCAAGAACACGAAGAGAAACACGGCTAGGCATTCTGTGAAGACTGCGCGCCATAGGATTAAATCCCCAACCACAGTCTCATAGACGACTTCGTGCCGCCGCCGACCCGGGGGCGACTCATTCAACAGTTTGTGGTAAGACAGGAAAATAGTAGCAGCGTTGATACCACGAAGTCTTTTACGAATGACATCCATTTTGGCAGACAGAATTCATTCGATCTCATCAAAACACAATTCGTTTGTTCCACTCTGACCATGACGCACATCATGCGAAATTCATGCACATCATGTAGTCATAACGTATTTGCTATTAATCTTGTGAGCGGCTAATGAGATTAAATTGACGACCCAATTTTGACAGCTTTGTAACAGTAAATAACGAAGAGATCCTTATCAAATACTCCCATTATCAAGTGGGGTTGTGACAACGAATAGCTAGTAGCTCCTATACAGCAAGTAGTTTCAACCAACCCACAAACAAGAAACTAATGATTATGGACTCTGCTTCATAATGGGTCAAAGTCAAAACATATAATTCATCTGCACTGGTAAACACAAAGCAAAACAAATCACCTAATTGACCACAGACGGTAAAGTACCAACTGCAAATACAAACTTAACTGTAAAACTGATGGAATTTAAATGATCCCTTTAAATAAGAACAAAATGCATACAGGATCGACTCTTCAATAACTGAATAGTTTGATTAAAGAACATAATGATTAAATATATTTAAAATATAGCTTTTATAAAATCTATCTGTCTTACAATTGATCTTACTTTCGGAATTTCGGTAAGCAATATCTTTATGCATTCAATTCAGATTTAGCAAATAAAAGACACTGGCAGTATTTGTGTTTTCAAACTTGCCAGGAAGGTTTGCACAATGCATTGAGAAGTTGTCAGCTGTGGTAATCACTGTCCGAACTTTCAGAGTCACTGATACAACTTTTCTTCCCATGCTTAGTGACAAGTCTCATGTTGCTGATAATATTGCTGAGGTCAAAGGGTAAAGGTCGAGAGAGGTCATCATCCTCCCACTTGGGTCTGTGGATGGGCAAGAAGTCGGCATGCATTGTCTCTAAGATCTTGGGTGAAAATCTGCAAAAAGAGAAATTGCAATTTTCAAGGTCAAAAGGCAAAGTCAACTTGTCTGTACATTCTTTCAACTGAACGGGCATATTAACATGAAGACTTAAAAAGGCCACAACACTTTTAATATCTTTATTGTGGCAATTTCATTTGAAATTTGCCAGAGGTGTGGTGACCACTGACAAAAATAGCTGAAAACAGCTGAAAAAGGTGTAAAAAGCTGAACTTGGAAATCTCCTATACTTTTGTACACAGCAAGTGAGGGAAAATAGCTGAAATCCATAACAAAAAAGCTGAAATCAGCTTTAAAGCTGAGATTTCAAATCCCTGTTTGCCTGACAAGAGGAGAGTTCTATGTATGCCTAAGAGAAAAACGTAAAAAGGATTTTTTAGGTGTGGTCCAAGAGAGGGCCAATCTGAGAGTCATCGTGGGCAATTTCACGGTTTTACTCACGTTACATTTTTGATGTACTTTTGAGTTTCCTTGGGCTGTAATTATCTTACTGAAAAGGTTTAATATCTGTTATCCCCATGGTAGATAGAGTAGACCTAGCCCTACCTAAGCACCATAGATGACATCCAGAAAAATGTGTTATGTATGATAAACAAGACGCACAAAATTGGTTACTCACGGTATGAAAATGTAACGTGAGTAACCGTGGAATTGCCCATTTTGTAACTAACTGATTGATTGACTGACTGACTCCCTCCCCCTGACTTCCCCCCCCCCCCTTGACTGACTGACTGACTCCCCGACAGACTGTCACTTGTGAATAGTGATGGGATTCAAATCCGGACTTTTAGGCAACACAACAATTAGGCCTTCCATTTTTTTTGTCACACAAGCTAAAGAAATCAACTGGAACATCCCCCCATTTGCTCCATGGTCTCTGATTGTAAGCACATTCATTCACTAACGTTCCCACCCATTTTTTCAACATTACACCTCTGGAGTGTTTTTTTTTGTGGAGGCCTTGTGGTCATTCAATCCTGCAAACTACACCTGTCCAAATCATTGTGAACAGCATTGCATGCGGCACCTCACTCTTCACTTTTTGTTGAAATGACCGTGAGCAGAATGGAAACTTAAGGTGAAATCTAGCCTTGGTCAAGGCGCTAGTTATTATTCATCCCGGCCGTAGCGCGGTAAACGCTATGCATGCGGTGCATTAAAAATACAGCGCGAACAGCGACCTCACGCAGCCACCATTTCTATGCAAATCAGTTGGACCCAATCTAGCGCCTTGGTTCAATCGTCGGCAAAAGCTTATGTTCTTCTTTATGTTGCGCTGGAATTCTAGCGCACGACCTCGTATGCGAATACAGATAAGTGTAGGCGGGGCTAACATGTGGAGTGTCCAATCACACCTTTCTAAATTGGAACGTCATCAAATTATTTGCAGCTATTCGCCTTTTGCGGACGTGACAGGAACCACAGCTTTTGTGCATTGGTGCCGTGTGCAGAGACACACAACGTGTACGTGTATGGATTATGTACGGTCGCCACGGTGCGGTGCCACGTTTCACTATGCAAGTAAAATCGGATAAGTGTTATTCGGTTGGAATAAAAAAATTAAGATATTTGGATTTTGAAATCTCTTATTTCTCCCACCACTACCTGTGAATCAGACTGGTTACCTATCTCACTGACTTTAGAACAGACAGGCAGAGAGCAGCAAAAAGACTTAAAGAGGTAGACATCACTGAGGCTTACTTATCAAGACAATCCTGTCTCAACTTCTGTCTTTCTTCGAGATGTGGGAGAAGTACCTCGGCAATTGCAGAACCTTCTTCGTCATCAAGAACATTCGCTTCCTCGACCGCAAGTTTTGTCTGTCAGAAATACCACGAAAAATTTGCTATTCAGCACATGTCACTTTCAAAAGTAGCCTAATTAAAGGGAATGTACATCATTGGCTTTTGCTGTAATTTTCAGAAATGAACTATTGGGGGGTTGGTATAATAGATCAAATATTGTTACACTGACATGTTTGAAGTTTTGCTTTCGAAAATGCTGGAAAAACCAAGAAAAACAAAAATGTTCAAGTAGTCTGGTTCCCTGACTCCACTAAAAATGAAATGGGTCAAAATGCCGGAAAATTGAAAGGTAAGGGAACCAGTCTAGCTGGCCTGTACCCGTTCATGAACATGCATGGAACCAATAGTAAACAAAATTTGGACTGGAAAAAAAAATGGAAAATATGGAGCAGTAGTTGAAAAATAGTTAGGTTTTTCCAACAGTAGTCGGCCGACCACCGTTGGAAATGTATACAAAAGTACCCCTTTTTCTTGAAAATGACTTCACACCAGGTGCCATAATTTTACAGGATCTTTTAGACTGTTATTTACCAACATCCTAGTAAGGTATTTCATAACAACTTGTAGTTTTATTTTTCGATGTTTGCAAATGTTGTATTTTCCCTTTAAATCTCTTATCACTGGTCCCAACCTACCATGTGTTCCATCTTGTGCCAATCAGCCTCCAGGTGCTCCATAGCTGGTACCCAGCTCTTCCTCTCAACGGCATGCCTAGATCCTTGCATCCAGAATTGACGTAGCCATTCAAACTCCACCTACAAATAATCAAAAACAATGGCATTCATTTTTTCCCCCCAATTTTAAATTGATTTAATAAAATGCACCATCGAAAAAGGGCATTTTTGCCAGAATTGACCTATCGCGGTAGAATCACGTTAAAATCGCGTCAACGCAGAACATATTGTGCAATTACATGATACACAAATGGATGCGGAACGGGCAAAATCTGAGACAAACAAAACTTAGTGTACGCAAATTCCGTAGGGTTGTCTAAGGGGCGTGGCTTACTTGCAAATGGCGATAGGTCAATTGCTTCAAAGTTCCCCACATGTAAATGCAAGACATTACCCCAAATAAAAAAAAACAGGATTTTAAAAACATTCTGGACATTTCTACTAAAACTCTAGATAGAAATCAGATTCTCAAAAACTGTTTCTTCCCATGAATTAATTTTAAAGGGAATGTACAACATTTGCTTTTGCTGCAATTTTCAGAAATAAATGGATTTGGAGGATAAGTATGTTATAGCAAATATTGTTACACTGACTTGTTTCAAGTTTTGGGTTCGTAGATGCTGGAAAAACCAAGAAAACCAATCATATTCTTGTAGTCTGGTTCCCTGACCCCACTTAAGATGAAATAGAGCAATTTATAAACTTTGGGGAATTGTAAGATCAGAGAATCAATCTAGCAGGCTTGTAGTCTCCACAGGTGTGTAATCAATTGCAAAGAACATGCAGACAAACTAAATTATGAAAAATTAGGAACAGTTTTTGAAAAAAAGCCAGTTTTCTCCAACGCTAGTCGGCCAACCAGCCTTGGAAAAATACAGTTTTTCTTGAAAATGTCAGCACACTAGGAGCCACAACTTTACAGGATGCTTTAGACTGCTTTCCCTAACAGTCCAGTAAGATATTTTGTGATAATTTGATCATTTGTTTTTTGATGTTTGCAAATGTTGTATCTTCCCTTTAAAGCATCCTCTCAAAACCATTTTTTTTTGGTAAACAAAATGGGATTCAGGCAAACCACTCTAGACTTGGGTTCAAACTTGTGAGGTTTGAGGAGCTGAATGCTCACTACTCACCTCATTATGTATAGTTTCGGTCAACTCAAGATGGTCAGCGGCCAAAGATGTCAGTTTATATTCTCCATTCTCAGTCTCACCAAGGTTACTCAGCGCCTCTTTGCATCGGCGCTGGATGTATGGGAGAGTTCCCTGACAGCACTATAAGAAAGAGAGGTTTTTGTACATGTTTTTTATTGTGTTATACAAAATGTAGTATGAATCTTCCATTGTAGTCAATTATTATGATCAGAAAGAGGTTGCAAAATTAATAGAGAATCCCTGCTGCCTACTGCCAAATCGTCAACTAAAGCACAGATGGAAACCGACTCTTTGAGTGATCACTAATGGCTGTTTCCCAGATTTGCAGCAATCTCTATGTTGCTAGCATCGTGACTTTGAGTGGGATCTACATTGTAAGACAAGAAAAGTTTGCGGTAGCACCATGTGAATAAATCTCTTTTGTGAGTATGTGTGGTTCTGAAAAGAACCGGAGAAACTCAACGTTTCGAACAGTATGCCCTGCTTGTCATCAGGACAATGAGGGACTCCAACGATGATGTGATGTTATAAGGATAGGTGCGGTGAGGCGTGAGAAGGATGCAAACTGGTGAAGCTCAAAACCGGTGAAGCTGAGAAGGATGCAAGTTGACTGAGGGATGCTGGATGATCACTGGATGAGTGGGAACCCTGGCTACATGGCACATACAGGTTTATGGCTTCTTAACACTACATCTCAAGGAGACTGCCAACACAGGGCATGAGAGCTCAGTTGGTAGAGCACAGGTACAACATTCCAGAGGTCGCAGGTTCAAATCCTGCTTCAGTCAATTTCTTTGTGCATCGTTCTTGTTGATTTGTGTGACAAACTTTGTTTGCACGAATGTTTTGAGTGCAATTCAGACAGAAATGTTCATACAGACCTCTGATATCACCACTTCAAGAACATTCATATAAATGAAGATTTTATGATGTGCTCCATTTCAGAAGGTGAGTGTCACAAGGGACAATCACAAGTCGGTCGATTCACAATGCTGTGCGCCACCAAGAGTTTGCCATGGAGAGTTGATTTTTCCCAGTGCATTGTGGGACATGGTCAACAAATTTGCAGCGCAGGACATTTGAAATTTTTTTTTTTCGGTCAATAGTTTCATAGTCAGTACGATTTGAGTATCTGTTTGCCCTTTTCTTTTGATCAAAACACTGTGCCCCAATCTATAACAAATTAGCTCAAGTAGTCTACTGACCCTCATTCAAGTGGGCCGTGTTTTGTCGGCTGTAAACTTGAAAAATGGACTCTCCATGGCAGACACTTGGTGGCACACTGCATCGTGAATCGCCTGAATTGCCAATTAATTTAAATAACAAACATGTATATGACTTGAGTTCAGAGTAATGACTATAATTTGGGTTGGAAATTTTATTTTCTTTACTTGTTGGCAGTTGCTCTTTAACCATTAGCACATGTATTACATAGTGTTTATTCACTGAAGAATCAATTAAACTTTAGCGTGCTAGGGGGTTTCAGGCGCTACAGTGGGTAAAGGGTTAAAACAAACCAAAACTTACAACAGCAACTCGGTGAGTTGTGCTGAACCTAGCCTGGCCACCAGCCACTACACAATGCTGATGGGTTAAAGCTAACCAAAACTTACATCAGCAACTCGGTGAGTTGTGCTGAACCTAGCCTGGCCACCAGCCACTACACAATGCTGATGGGTTAAAGCTAACCAAAACTTACATCAGCAACTCGGTGAGTTGTGCTGAACCTAGCCTGGCCACCAGCCACTACACAATGCTGATGGGTATCATTCAGATCCCCCAACATGAAGTATGACTCGCCAGTTTGTAGAGGTACGACCACGCCTGGTGTCTCGATATCCCATGACACCTTGAGGCCAACCATCCAATCAGAGGAGTCGCTTGAACTGTCTCCATCTGTTGCGGGTTTAAAACACAGGAATTAACATCTGGAAATATTTTGAAAAATTATGTGCAAGAAGATTGTGTGCCTCACCTTTCATTGTTCCTTGAATCACAAAGTTCAAAGTCAATCACAAGTCAATCACAAGTCAATCACGAGTCATTCACGAATCATTCAGTCTCAAGTCTTAAGTCAAAAAACAAACTATTCAAATGAACTTCTGCAAATAATTTGTTCACTGTCCATCCTTTTTTACTTGTGACTTGTGTTTGTTTAATCCCTGCATAATTGTCCTAAATGTGTTCAGACAGAGTTTTCATGATGTCATAATCATTGCCTTTTAATTGTCAGGTTAATGAGAGTCACAGCACAGTTAACAATAAGTAATGTATTAATATGGTGTAAACTTGAAGCCACGGGAGAATGCTACTCAAAATGTCACAAAATTCTGTCTAAGGCCCCCGCCCCCCAAAAAGGTCCAGTTTCTGGTATACACGTGCATCGCAGTAGCCATGCACGCCAGCAAAATTAAAACATTTCAATGTAAGATGATGTCTCCAAAGCGCCAAACTCACTGGTTTGACTGGAATCCTGCTGCTGCACAATTTTAACATGTTTTCAGATGGGGTTACGATCGAGTATAAGCTTTATGTGGCCTCTCTGCTATTAACTCCCATATATTTGCACTAAATTTAGTCGGGCATCATTTGCAGTCATCAGCCGACATTTGAAGAAAAAAAAAAAAAAAAAAAAAAAAGCCGCGTTGCCGCACCACTTTTTGGGCAAGCTCCGTACCAGAAACCGGAGACCTTTTTTTTTGGCCTAAAGGCTAGTTCATACTTCGCACAAAAGCGAACGCTAATATGTGACGTCAGGGCAAATTTTTGTGCTGCAAATTCGCAAAAGTTAAACACATTTCAACTCCGATGAAGTTCGCAGCAAATGCTTCCTGACAAATAGCATGAAGTATGAACAGGCCTTTACAACCTTTTCCCCAGAAAAAGATCATTCAGGATCAGAAATATGGCCAATTATTACAACCTGATGAGCAGGTGTGGTTGTATACAGCCACAGTGGAGCCCTGGACCAGATTACTATCCATGTGCCAGCTGACAGCCAGAGGGCCCATCCCATAATAAGGCTCCGCCTTCAATCTCAGGTCTGGATCCTTTGGGTCCATGTAGTTGATGAGCACAACATTGAAATCGGTTCCCTCTTCGATGGATGGGCTACAAGTTGTCGGCTTTTGTTCTGAACAACTCTTGGTCTCCTCGTTTGGACTGTGATGCAGAGGACTTTGTGCAGCTCCTTGGGAGATACAAGACTCTGGCTCAGTCTTTTCTGCTGCTCTTTCAAGAAGTAACTTCCTAGAGACGGCTTTGAAGTGATCGTTAAGCTTTCCAATAATCCCACAAGCCAGTTCGACCTCGCTCTCCACTTGATGATCTCCGAAGCACCATGGGATTGCAAACAGACGCAAGCCCAGGTACTTATATGTTGTCTCCGGTTCACCAATCAGAGTACGAGACACTGGTGTCTGGACGGTTTGACCCTTGACCTTCACCCAGTCCCGATAGAAGTAACCATGGTGATGGAGTATGTTCAACGCCCATGGCAGTTCCTCCTGCAGGGATGTTGGAATACAGCTGCAGGGTTCATGTGCAAAGTTGAAATACTTCTCTCGCATCTGTTTTGCAGTGGCAAAATAACCAATTGTTATTTTATAAAAAATGCAGATCTATGTAAACAAGGGGTAACTTATTTTGATACATTTGTATAAAAATGTTTCATTACTCACAATAAATGTCTATTAACATCATTTGAAAAAAAAAAACCCAGTTGATACATATGTAATTGCTAAAATATACTTCAACAACATGGATCAAAAACAACATTTATTTTCAGTGTGCCTCAACTTTTCCTTATTCACATTCACAAATAAGTTCAGAGCCATTCTTCACAAAGGTTTTAACAGAGTTGTAACGAGTCACTGATTTTTGTGACACAAGTTCAGTGACTCAAGGCAATTTGAGTTATTTCAAAGCATTGACTCGAGTCCAGTCGAGTCATTAGGTCAAGAAGGTCGAGTAGAGTCACAGTGTGCAGTCGAGTCGAGTCAAGTCGAGTCAAATATTTAGATCGAGTCAATTCGAGTCATGAATATTTGAACACTGTATAACGAATAAAAACATTTGTATCACGAACAGTTAACAAGAAGTGAAACTTCGGTCTTATGCTATCTGGTTTGACTTCGGGTCTAGAATTTTTTTCGCTGATCATCTACAACATCAGAACTTTTTCTGATTATTTAAAAGTGGGGATGTATCTATTAATTTTTTTAAAGTAGGGCATAAATTTAGCCGGTGTTTGAATCCAAGAGCTTAATAGTTAGAGATCGCCCAAAGCCAATGATGAAACCAAGAATTGGAAAATGTATTTCAAGTCCGATTCTGGGATAGTATTTTGTCAAAACTCCGTCAAGAATTCATATTACCAGTGATTTGAAGTCTGGATGATCAGGCATCAAAAACTGTAACTTTCCTCTGGCAACCTCAGATAACAGTTTCTTTCTCTGTGTAGTAAAAACAAATTCTGCACACATTCTTCCATTCACACTGTTCATATAAAACGGGTACAAAAGTTTTCAAACGGATAACTTCCAGTCTAAAAAAAACTACCACGACTACCATGCTTTCATATTGAGCTATAGTATTAGGGCAACACACAAGCATGATGACAGAAAATGATTTTATCTCCTATCACCACAGTCAGTTTGGTACGTCAGTTTACGTCGTAAGACGTTGATTGTTACAACAAGACAATGACTTAAATTCCCTGCACCATATTCCGCACGGTACATGCGGTAAGTGTGACCAGGTGACAGTGTGGAGGAATAATCACACTAGCTGGAGTTACCCAGCCCTGAGTTTTATCATTGGGTTGTCTATAAGGGCTGGAGCGAATTTTTCTCGTAACTTGTAGTATTTGCAAAAATTTTTGGAAAATGTTCAATTTTGTCCCCGTTACACACTAATTGCAACTGCAACTCACCCCAAACTTGCCTGGAATAATCATTACACAGGTCCTTGAAGTAAAAAACGATCCACGATGAAGATTCAGCCTACAATTGCAGTGAAAACAGGAGGAATAACCGCTAACTTGACAACCTTGCTGGATTGGCCAGGACCGCAATTGGTTTGTGCACAAAAAAAATTGTGTACATGTACAATGAATGGCGGTCGATTAACAGGCACAGAGAGAGCGATCGCTGTCAACTACTCGGTTTTGCCGGCTGTTGGCGCATGACGTCACGCGGAAGCGTAACACCCGATGACTGTTTCATGCACTATTGGTTGCGGTTCCAGTACCAAAGCTGTGATGCGAGTGGTAAACCTCATATTAGTGCATGAAACAGTCATCGACGTTACGCTTCCGCGTGACGTCATGCGCCAACAGCCAGCGCAGCCGGCAAAAACGAGTAGTTGACAGCGATCGCTCTCTCTGTGACCGCCATTCATTGTACACAATTTTTTTTGTGCACAAACCAATTGCGGTCCTGGCCAATCCAGCAAGGTTGTCAAGTTAGCGGTTATTCCTCCTGTTTTCACTGCAATTGTAGGCTGAATCTTCATCGTGGATCGTTTTTTACTTCAAGGACCTGTGTAATGGTTATTCCAGGCAAGTTTGGGGTGAGTTGCAGTTGCACTTAGTGTGTAACGGGGACAAAATTGAACATTTTCCAAATTTTTTTGCAAATACTACAAGTTACGAGAAAAATTCGCTCCAGCCCTAGTAATAGACAACCCAATGATAAAACTCAGGGCTGGGTAACTCCAGCTATAATCACACTGACAACTGACTCAAGCCGGTGACAACTTCGCGCTAAACTTGATTACTCTGTCTTGACATTTGTGATTACCTACCTTTAATTCTTTCCCCTGATCTTCATTCTGTCTTTTCTTCGACATTTTTGACATTAGATGGTTTAATCACGGATCCTCAACACTGAACATTTTCCGCTCGTTGTTCTTTCGTGCGCCTGTGCACGTGGAGTTGTTTATTTCCGGTAGTAATGGTGTTACTTAACATATTGTTCTGTCCACCTGTCTGGATAGTGTAAATTTCAGTTTCAGATAACTTTTGCAAAATATTTCAGTTTCAGATAACTGTTGCAAAAAATATTACATAAAATTATTTACAATTATTACATTTACTGTATCAAACCATCTCGATATGTAAATATCTGAACATTTACGGAGCGAAATATTTACTAATTTGTAATAAATATATTTTGTAACACCATGCTTTGCTATAAAGTAGGTCATGACGCATGCGCATCTATATCTTTGGGTTATCGCCGAATATTTTTCAAACGACTGAAAAAGCAGCATCCGAGCATCCGAGGTTTTGGCAATTTTTAAAGTCAGTGTGATGTGGTAAGCATCATGTCAAGTTGGAACCATCGTTCCAAAGCTTGTGAAGTATATTACTTGAGTTTTAAGAATTTTATTCAGCCAGAAACACTTAGAAACCTGTGATCCAAAGTGGACACGGCGACGTTGGCGTCGTCGTCGCCAGGCGGCCACTGCCTGACGTCGCGGCGTTGACTGCTGCGGTTGACCTGCTGCGTGCTGTGGATTATTCCTCTATGGGATAATGCACCCGCCGCGCCGGCCCCTAGAAGTGGGGTACTATGGGGCTCCGCGCAAAGTAAAATTGGTTGTAGACATGCTTTTTCAAAATTTTGATTTTCTTTTCTGAACGAATTTTAAAGGGTAATCCTTACTTTTAGGACCCCTTTCCTATATAAGGTTAAAAGACTCACCAAAACAGCTGACTAAATGACACTCAAAAGTGACATTCTGATATTCATTGACACATTTGAACATTTGGCAGTGACACCTCTTGAATATCAGCAGGGTTGATTTTGTAGAAAGAGGGCAGGGTTTTGATTTATGAGGGGTTAAAGACGACGATGACAAACAGACATGACAGAAAATAAATTTAAAAAGCAAGATGGCGAACTGCAAAAAAAGGTAGGAAAGTCACATTTTCTTTGAAAGTGCTTTCAAAATTATAACTAACATGAGTTTTCTGAAGAAAAAAGTCACTTTGGTACTGGACAGTCATCTGCAAAAGTCAGTTTTGAACAGAACTCGTACAAAATAGAGGTGTTCTAAAAGTAAGGATTACCTTTTAAAGAAACGTGGGCCTAAAAATGTCCAGTAGTTGGTAGTGAATACATTTGTTGTAAACATTGCGCTTACGCTAATGGTGCGTTCCTGGGCCCAGTTTCTAAACATAAATTCTAAATGTCTAATAACTCAGTTGGTGATTTTCTTCCTTGTTCTCAACTATGCAGGTGTGGACCAATTATGTCAGAATCTGTGTAACCAGACATTGTATCCGACAAAATGGATGCAGACAGCGTGTATGACGAGACACCAGTCCGAGACCCTGGTGGGGGTGCCAGGGGTCATGAGTTACCACAGGGTAAGTGTGCCAATAAACAGCCAATTTAAGTTGGGATATGGCATCAAGATACATAGCACCACTAGTATGGCAACGGTATTGCAGCACTGTATCCTTTGCCACACGGTGTGCAAACCACCAGGTTGATTAGGTCGTCTCATATCCAATTTTTTGAGAGATTTAGGCATCTTTCTGGAGTCCATTTGCACACGTGAAACCTCTGTGGATGGCAGCCATTTTGAATGTAAGAAGAGATGACCCCAAAGCTGGGTTGTCATGTTTATGCAAATCGATCTTGTCGCTCAGGCGCGCGAGTTGCAATGCGACAGCTGTTTCTTTGACAATGGATCCACCCATTGTCAAGGGTTGCGCGCTGCTATCTGTTGAGAGATTGTACAAGAATGATACACAATCTGTTTTGTGATCAGAGAATGCGCCCAGGTTTATGTTGAATAACTTGACTCAACATTTGATGGCTATTAACTGTTGGAAATGTGTATAGTCATGGCATAAAAATCGCTGCTATGCCAGATGTAAACAAACAGCTTCTTTTTTTCCCAAACTATTTCTGTCCCTTGACAGATAGCGAACAGCGTCGTGCACAGCAGAGACGAGCCGTTGCCAAGATCAGCCGAGAGGAGTTGGAAGATAAATACCTCCGCCTCCACGATGAGAACTTGGTCTTGAAGAGACACGCCCGCAAACAGGAGGAGAAAATTAAAAAGTGAGTCTGGAATCTGGCATTGCGGTTGTATTGTCCTGGTGCCTTTTGGAAATTTCTTGTAAAACTGGTTTAAATAAATCAAGTTGCAGTACCATTCTCTGACTTCAGATTTGGGGGCTCATGGACGGAGAAAAACTTAGACCTCACACAGAAATTAAAAACAACCTTTTTATGTTGGCTTTTCATATCAACTGATGAGGATTTTCTTTCTTCCAATTAACATCTAAACCAGCACATTTGAAAGGCTTCCAAAGAGACTTCTCATTGTAATTGGGTTATTATCTCATTATGTAGAATGGCCACCAAGTTGCTAAGACTAGTCAGCGATCGGAAGAAGCAGGACCAGGAAGAGGGAGGAGCCAAGAGGCCTGCTCGTAAGGGGCGGGACGTGGAGACAGAAGAGATGCTTGAGGACCTTCAGGGTAAAGTGAGGGAACTCCACAAACAGAACGACTTGCTTAAGAACAAGGTATGCAGAAGGCTTGGTACTAGACCAGAATGTCGATCATCTTTGTTTACAATAAGTAATTTATTTGTTTTAAGGATGGTTACATTTTTGAGCAGTGGATTTGTGAAAATTGCCACAGGTATTTGGTTAGATTATATTTAACTAGGAAGGGGAATTATTTTGGGAGTTGGGGGTGGGGACGTTTTGAGGACAGAAGAAATATAGGGTTCAGCTGTCCCAATTTTAAGCAGAAAATGGTCTAAATTTCAGTTTCTTGAGTTTTCTTGCATGATATGGTTTATGCATATGGTAAGGATGGATGATTTTTTTCAAATAGCAATTTGCTCTTTTCACACTTCCGCCATGGGCATGCAGAGCCTCGATCTGGCAACTTTACACAATAAATATAGCCGGTTCAGTGATTCCCGTGTCGGTGTTCAGATCACTGAACCAGCTATTTTTATTGTGTAAAGTTGCCAGATCGAGGCTGTGCATGCCCAATGGCGGAGTGTGAAAAGAGCGAATAAATCAAGATGCTTCAAAAGTTACCGTGAAATTATTGAGAATTTTGAAGGAATGGGGATGGCATGGAGATTTCTATCAAAAATGCCACTTGGTATATTTGTGTGATTCTTATCCTGATCAACATTATCAGGAGTGCTATTGACAGTGTTCAGCACAATGTCTTTGTCATCATTTTATGATCTCTTTTTTTGCATGTGTTTCTAGTTGATGGTTACTAAACAACAGCTTGCCACTCAGGGTACCAGATCGACACCCTATCCTCATGTCCAATCCAGGATAAATACTGTAAGTTTTATTGGATTATCTCATTCAGGGTTGACACTCCCATTTTTTTCATTCAGTTCTAAGTAAAACAAGTACCGTATGAGTCCAAACCTTCAACTAAGGACAATTCTAGAATAGTCCAGTATAGACTTATAGTGTGGTTGCCAAAGTAATTTTGCGTATCACAAGCAAGGGTCTTTGAATTTCACTGAGACTTAAAGATATAGTCCATCATTTGTAATTTGTGCATTTTGTTCGTTTGAAGCAACAAAAGTGCTCAAAATCTAAAGAAGGGCACTGAACAACTAACCTGATGTAGTTTCAGCTCAGCTTCAGCTGTATATTCCGAGAAAAACAGCATTCTAGGATCTCAATTTCAAATCAAAAGTTGCTGAATCATGTTTTGAATTGGGCCTGAATTCAGCGTCCGAGACACGTTCTGACTGAACTGATAGCAGTTACGCGATGTCGCGCAATGATCCGACGAATTATAGCAACTGTGCGCGCATGTGTGTCGTGTCAACGCTTGCGCGCGCTTCGCCGAATAAAAAAAGGAACTACTAACGAAAATTTCCAACGGTGCTTCTTAAGACGCACTGTTGGAAAGGCCTTCTTTCGTTGATTTCTTCAGAATGACAGCTTGCCAGAAAGAATAATTTCACAGGGAGTTTAGTCCCCTTATTATCTTTCAACCAAGTATTTTTTTCAACAATAATTACGCCAGTTACTTTTTGGATAGCTGCAAATGATGGACTCCGGCTTTGACCAGTCTGAAGTCAGTGAGAATTGAGTCTGAATAACTTGACTACGGCTAGCAGCGACACATGCCTCCATGGGAAATGGCTGCAGCCACTTCCCGTAGACACATGAGTACTTGTGAGCCATAGCCACATTATTTGGATGGAAACTTACATTAATATGTGACCGGCTCCACAAAAAAGGGTATTAAGTCGCACTGTGCATTATTGTGTAGTGGCCTGCTCAACATTGAGAGGGTGAAAATGTTGTCAAAATGTGATTTTCTTTTTTTTGGTCATGAATGACATCTTGAATACCTACAGTTTCAGGTTTCATTCACAGAAATTTTAATTTTGATGAACAAAGTGGAAGAAACAACCTTTTTATGTGCATCGTTCTGTTGTTCAACAACAAAGCCAGCTATTTCAAGGCCTGTTTTCTCAGTTGTGCAATTTGAACTCTAAGGAAGTAATTAATATGCAAATAAGTCATATCTCCAGAACGGGAGGGGCTATGGAGCTCTAGTATATGCCAAATGAAAGCTTACATTGTGGGCTTTCCAACCATGTATATAACTCAATTTTTTGTGGAGCCGGTCACATGACCTTAACTTACAGAAACTTACACTGGAGTGTAGGGTCAAGACTGTTGACCAGTGTATTATATTTAGGCTTAAAAGATTGATTCCAAAACAGCATAGGAATTGGTCATGGAAAGCCCTAATTTTGTCCTGGAAAAAGCGTGGAAAAAACATGGAATTTCTTTTTCAGATTTCTGTTGGAACAATACTATTAACTGTATGGCCTACTCTACAGGCCCGAATATACATTTATGCACAATGTCACAGATCAAAGCTAGGAAACTATAAAGATGGCAACACTATACCCCATGAAAAAAAAATGATGGG